GGGACTACCACTAAATCTGATTTACTCTATTCTACTTTGTTTAAGATGATGAAGGAATAGTAGACTTTTTCTACTGATATGAGTCGGCCTTCCGTCTTCATTAAATTTCACATAGACTTGCTTTCCAAAAGTCATCTAATATATTGCCATATCAAATACAACTTTGCTTCGACAATTCCATCATAGAATATGATATGGTTAAATGTATAGCTTTGAACTTCTTATCTGCCCTGTGACCTAAGGGTACTCGTGGCAATGTGGCGTAGTGGCTAACGTGTCTAGATTAGATGCTGCACTGTCACGGTTTGCGTCCCATTGGGAGTGCTAAGACCTAAGCGGGGTCAAAACTGCAGTCACTCTGGATCAAAATACCTTTTTTGGAGAAAGCTATATGCAATTCGCTGAGAACATAGAGCCTATTCATATAATTGCGGTAAAATTCAACTACCCCTTCTTTATCGCCTTAAACGGAATAGGGTGAATACAGCTTTATATTCGGGATAGTCACATTACTGCTTCAACATTACTTTTAGGAAAGTCTAAGAAGGTGATTATTATAACCATCTGCATTCCATGGATGCCAGGCTTACTATATAATTGTCCATCTACAAGAATTTTAGAGTCCAACCGATCTTTTTTATTTTTCTTTTGACTTAAGTTATTTTGAAGTGTATTCACTTACTTATAGCTATTCTAATAAACTGTTCAGTCTTTCGAACTTTGTATATTAATTTGTGCTAATTTTATATCACCTGATCATGTCCTGAAACCCTTTTCTTTTTTGACATCACTCTGAACATAGTCCGCTTTATTTCATTACTGTTTAGTTGGAAAATAAAAGGCATTTAGATGCTGCTTTATATGTATAGTACCTTTCATCTTATCAGAATTACTTATCATATTTTACCTCCTATTCGACCCATATTCGCATCAACCTGTTGCGCTTTTATTGCTCACACCATTCTTTGCAACCAAAACTCTGTTATGATTTGTTCATCTTTTATTCCTTCCCACACTTAACTTGACCCATGCATTTTACTTTCACTCCAATTCAACTATGCACTGCATACAGAAAGTTAACTCGATATCCCATCCCTTTTAATTGCATTTTCTTGAACGCTGCTCCCGAACAGGCTTGCCCAACCTTATCCATCTATCACTTAATCACTCCTCAGTAACGGACGCCGGCTGGCAAGCTGTTCAGACGGCTCTTGTGAACACTCCGTCTAGTGTGACAGCCTTAGATATATCCGAATACGAGCAGCGGGGGATAAACCATAACGAAAATCGACGGTCGTTAACCTTGCAGTATCTTTCTACTTCAGTCGCTCCTGGACTGTCTGATTCCGGCCTCCTGGCGATTGCCAACATCTTTCCTAACCTCCGGCATCTTGTGATAGCACAAACTGGAGTAAGTTATTTGGTGGGTTGTTAGCAGCATTATACTATCTTGGGCCTTAATGTGTTTCAGCTCTCCATTACATCTAATAAAAACGTTCGTACCCAACATTATTTATCATAAGTTACTTTTGAGGCCCATATAAGACTAAGCAGCAATTTCTATCCCATTCAATTTTACTCTGGGGAAAATAATATCACCTAGATAAATCCTTCATGTCACTTAATTGTAATAGACATTCGAAATGAGCGAATCTTCATGTTTAAAAATATATCCTCATACGATATGAAACCTTTTCTAATTGACAGAGATAATTGAAGGTATGAAGACCAAGATGGTGTGGCCTTTTGTGTGGTCGCAGTCTCCTTTTGTTGTATAGAGGTTGTTTGATCTTGTTTTTGCAAAATGTTCATATTGGTAGGAAGACTTAGAGGAACGCACCTAGTCCGGAGTCCATTGTCTGCATGATCATTTC